CCCCTTCTTCCCTGCCTATGCAGGGGGTCGGACTCGATGATCTATTGAGGTCCCTTCCGACCCTAACATCTATGAATTCACCATTCCAGACAGTTTAGAAAAAAGTCTTCTCTCCACCCTTCCATTGTACAGCAAATATAATAACTAGTAGCTGGATTTTGATACCTTTTTGTCCCTGCTGATTAATATTTGTTTACTTAAAGTCTAATGGCCCTCTTTCTTGTGTGAAATACCATTCAGTGTCAAGAAACCAGTCATGTACATTTTCATATTTAAGTTGGTGAGATGTAAACAAAAATTTCTATAGCAGTGATTCTCAACCAGCTTGCCAGGGCTCCCTGCTATGCTGTGAGATCTTTTGAAAGCTGCCACAAGGTATAAGATAAGCAGGTGAAGAGATAAATGTAGGCTCAGTGTCATTTCTTTCTGGCTGTTACCTATCCCCTCCGCCCAGCCCCTCTGCAAGGAGGTAAGCCTGTAATAAATTAATTTTTGAAATGGGGTGCTGCTCAACTCACAAAAGTTTTGGAGGGGTGGCTTGAAACTAAAAAGGTTGAGAACCACTGTTTTAGAGGTTTGGCTAAATACAGACCAAAGATGAATGTAGATGGAGGCAACGGTTAAAAGGCAAGCTTAAGTGCTGTTGGCAGTGTCACCAAGACTTAATCAGGTGCTTGAGTGCTTTACTGGATCAGGGCCTACTGCAGCAGTTGACGTCTGATTTGTGGATTTGATGACAGATGTAAAGAATGCAAGTCTCACTGCTTTTAGCACAACACATAAATACTTTAAATAAAATGGTATTGGAAGAGATCAGCAGAATTTGTTTTTTAATCTCTTTTTCCAGCTACTAGAGATATTTCATGCATTTTAGGCATTCAAAAAGCTCATGAACTTAAGTAGAGAAGAATAAATGTATCGAATAAATGAGTAGTAGTTTTGTTTTGTTTTTAAATAAATGGGGAGACTGACTATTGGTGTCTATATACTCCCAGTAATAAAAGCTGAAGATCAGAATGCAGTTTGGCAGCAAAAAGAAACTACTCAAAATTCCATGCATGTTTGTTACAGAGAAAGTGAGGCCTTACCCTGAGATGACTTTCTTTTCCATATTTAGAACTTTGGAAAGTCCAGTAATACACCTGTTATGTTACTTCCTAGTAACTAATCCAAACTTTTGGGATAATTTCTCCAGAGATCTGCTCATTTAACAAAATTGCTGTCTTCACTGATGAAGATGAACAAAGGGAAATATTTTAAACTGTAATAACTTTTGCAGATAGCCATTTAAATATAATAGTGACTTTCATACAACCACTGTACATAAAGCAGAGGTGCTTTAATAGACTGAAAATATTATGAGTAACTTGAACCATCATTACTAATATTTATTACCTGAACCAAAGTATTTGAGGCTTCATTTGCATAGTCATCTGAGTATGTTTAGTTCTAAATAAAACAGACCATCTACTTCACATACTTGTTTTCTGGTGTAGTAAGAGGTCTTTGTTGATCTGTTGGTATCTGGGAGTATAGTTATATTAAGAAACTGACAGTCGGTACTGTATAATGTTACTATGCAGACAGATAGTGGAGATATTTTAGACGAGGTCAGTAGGAGGGAATGAATGATGGGTGAACTGAATTGCTAGGGTCAGATTTTTAGCCATCGTTTACTCTAAGAACTGTACAATAATCTATACTTTTTAAGAGATTAATTTTTTTTCAATAGTTTACCTATTCTGTGGCATTTCCATACATTTTAATGTAGAGAATTACACTGTACCATAACTGCAATAATTTGATTTGTATCTGTATGTTTATTTCTCCACTGTTAACATCCCTTTGCCACATTAGTACAAGAATTTGAATAGCTGTTTAACAAAGTGATTGTATGCCATAACTTTTAATTCTGGCTACACATCCTGTGTTTAAATGGGTATGTCCACAGTGCTACTGAAGTCCAATTTATGACCATTCCTCTCTTTTCTCCTGTGCAACTCCATTCTCTCAATATTTGCTGCTTCTAAAATTTAGCCAGGTATTTGAGCATTGAGTAAATAACTCCCTTATACCTCTTGGATAAGACTTTTCTTCCCCCAAAAAAGGGGAGTTTCGACAGTGGCAGCAATCTAAATACAGATTTATATAGTAAGTGTTGTTATTTACCAACATATGAGGATTAAAAAATCTTGGCTAATCTCTTTTACTTGATAGTGCTTGGAGCATTAGGAATAGCAAAACTTGCAAAGTGAGTGTAGTTATATGTCTAATAAGACACCCTTCTTGAGCTTTTCCTGGCTGAGACCATTCCTTTTCAGAGAGATTACTTAATTTACATGTGGCAAAATAATTTCCAAATGGAATCTGCCTTCGCTAATGGATTGAGGAACCATGCATCTTTCCTAGATGGTGGATCCCGCAGCCTGACAATAAGAAATGTACAGGGAATAAATTATTTCTTAATTTCCCTAATTAATGTTTAGAATCAAGCCTCCCTCTTGTCCCCCTGCAAGAAATGGAAATTAAATACTCTTAAGGTTTCTGGAGTAGAATATAACTGCTGCGCAGGTTGAAAGAGTAATTAACAAGTTGGGAACCATGGACTGTAGTGGTTCCCAGTAGCCCTACCAGCCCAAGTAACAAAATGCTTCCTTCTCAAAAGCCCAAATTCCATTCTAGAACTCTTCATAGAGAATTGAAAAAAGCGGTTTTAAAAAATTGATGCGATTTGCTAATTGGATGCACCTTCTAAGTGAATGGTTCTAAACCTTGTTAAACTGAAGGCCCCACTTGGAAAATGCCAGGTCTTAGCTTTGCAAGCTTTTGGGTACAAACCTTCTTCTCCAGGCAGAGGGAGCATCTATAGTTGTTTTGTGCTGCCCTGGATATAATACTGTTACTGGCTTCTATTCTATCTAGGAGAGCACACGACAACTGTAGACTTTCCCTCTGCCTGAAGAAAGGAGTTTGTACCCAAAAGCTTGCAAAGAACAATTTTTCCAACTATTTTGTTGGTCTAATAAAAGCCATCTTAAAAAATACCCAAAAAACCTTGTCTGCTTATCTTCTTAAACCGGTGGTTCCCAACATGGTGCCCGCAGGTGCCATTGATATCTTCAAAAGAACATAAAGTAAAGGGAAGCTGCATTTTGAAGTTGCGGATCTAATGCAATTTTAAGTAATGGATGAGATGATCAGATTGATCTAAATTCTAAACTTTAATATTCATATTGGCACCCGCTGCTTTTTTCTTTTAAATTCAAATGTCCCCTTGGGCACATAAATGTTGGGCCTTAGACCAGCATGGCTACAACCAACAGTCCCGAGCTCTTAGCTCTTTCCTTGATTACAGAGAAGTAACAGAGTAATTCTGTTGCAAGGAACTCAGACCAGAAAATAGCAGAATGTTTTTGACAATATAGATTCCTATTTGAAATCTTTTGGATTGTCTTGTGAATTATATAGGTGTTTGCACACCTATCTGCTAATATTGAATTGCTCACTGTAGCACCCTCAAAGATTCTCAAGGCACCTTAGGCTGCCATGGGACTGTGGTTGAAAACCACAGTCCCAAGTCAAATAATCAGAAAGTAGTTGAGCTACTCGGAGGGCATTTGAGGAAATCTGATTGAATTTGGCTGTTAGAGCCCTGTAGATTTAACTAGTAATTCAGTGGTAACATAAATGGCTACTTGAGTTGAATAGATCTGACTTCCAGTAGATTATGCATCTTTTTTAATAAGGGCACACTATTGTACCTTTTTTACAGTTTTAAATCTTGTTATGGAAGGGTAGCAGAACAGCTAAGGCATCAGTTAAACAAGTTCTGTGACCTTTAGTTCGGCATTGCCAGCAGCTGTTGGGGTACCTGAGATTGAAGAAGGTAAAGATGGCATATTCATGTCAAACTTTTTGATCCAGGTTCAAAAGCACACTTGCAAATTGAGCCACAGATCTGTACTTCCCAATTAAAGGTTCTTCTAAAAAACAGCTCTCATACAAAATTGAGATCACAAATGCAAAGCAGCTAATCTCTGTTTTGCATATTCTTGCTGATGGATGCAAATGCACACGATTGGGGCTCTAGCAACATTGCTACATAATATGTTTAAGTGTTAGTGTACTAACACACTCATACTATGTACTAACACCTATTATACTATGATTACTTTTTCTACACATCTGTTGGAAGCTTTGGAAAATATTAATACTTGAACCAAATTGCCTTTGTAATAAAGAAATGAGCAGTGGTGAAACTAGGATGGGGAGACTGGGGAAGCCATCCTGGATGCTGACTAGGGGCAAAGGGGATAAAGAAACAACTGCCTCCACAACTGCACAATTGCACCAGTGGCATGGTGGCAACCAGAAATTGCTGATGCCTCTGTGTGGCAGCTGCCCCAGACCCCAGCCATGTCATTATGCCTCAGGAAATGAGATAATAATAGAGTATCTAAATTTCTCAACATATTAGCTTTTCTGTCACTAATTTTGACCAAGTTTCCCCTCTAGCATCTCTTAATGTATAGCTATTGAACATTAACACAAATTAAGAAAAATTGACAGTTTGTTAACCTATGGGTTTGCCTTTTGGCAGTGGTGGGGAAAAAGGGTTGGGAAGGAGTATGTTTTCTTTTGTTTCACTTTTTTCATGAGTTTTGTTTATTCTTTTGTTTGTTCATACATGCTTTTTGTTTTTGTTTCTGTTATGTTATGTAGTCTTATACCAATGGCTAGAAGCAGATCTCCATGGCAAGAGCTCAGGCACTACAGACAAAACCTCAGGTAAAATGGGAGTTTAAAAATCAGATCTACAGGTCCCCTCTCCTTTTTTTACATCCATCTTCTAGTTTCCCTTGAATCAAATTAAGGGTCAGAATCAAGTATTGCACCTTTAGGCTATAACTTGATTTGAATCAATATCTATCAAATTGTATTTCCCTAAAGCTCTCTTGGCAGATATGCTTCTCTCAGAAGAAACTTATTTTTTCTGAAGTCTACTGGTGTAAAGTCCTTTGATGTATATATATTGGATATATTTTGTATCTGCTTAGTAACAGGCTGAACACATCTTTTACATGAAGTTGGAATTCATCAAAAATTCTAACTGTGCGCAATAAGCACATACAAAGCCTTGCTCCCATTGTCCTCTGTGACCCCGCCAATTCCTAGCTACAGAGACTAATAGATTTTTTTAAAATTTAAACTAAAATTTGCCTCATTAGCAGGGATCCTGGTTGTCTGTTTTAAACCCTGCAAATTCTCTGATTTAAAAAAAAAAAATCTCCAAATTCTCTGATTAAACCCCCCATCAGTGTTTTTCCACAATTAAAATGAAACGTCACTAGTATATGTGTGTGTGTGTGTGTGTGTGTGTATGTGTGTGTATATACACATGCAATGAACACAATGTTTTTATTGCTATATTTACAATTTTAAAGCAATTTGGAAACTTACCAATACTTGAATTGTTATAACAAAATAAATTCTAAATACTTATATATATTTTGATGTTTGACTTTGATTTTTATCATAGAAAATCAGAGCTCCCCCTGCCTTCACTCAGCTGTGGCTGTCCTTTCCCCCTCTCCTCCCCTGCCCTCCACAGCTTTGTGGCGTTGAGGAGCCCTAATATACTGGTTCTCTGCCCATGCCATTGCCCCTCACTCCCAAAGCACAGTCCCCCAAGCCCTGCTGGAGCCTCTCACTCCTGACCTGCTGCCCCCACCCCACAGTGTATGAGGAAGGGAGTGAGTGTGTGGGAAACGGGGAGCATAAGGAAGGGGGAGTGTGGGCACAGGCAATGCATGCAGGGGCAGGAGGGCACACAAGTAACAAGGTAGATGGGGATACATGACCCTGAGATTTCTGTGCCCACAGTGGGGTGTGGGGCTGCAGCTGGGCTGGACCAGCTCTGGGGAGGAGCCATTGCCACAGCTCAGTTGGTGATA